TCTAAGTATACTTTCTGTCAGAAATTGACAGAAAACTCTTTTTATACACCAACCACAGATCACATCATTACTCCTGCAGTCTTGAGATCAGCATCTGCCATTAATCTCAGGGCAAACCAGGTTAAAAGCACACATTCACAACACCTGAAGAAAGCTTCATAGCAGCTACACAGACCATTCATTCAAGCTGACTTTTTGTGTTACATGATCAGTGGGCTGATAAGCACAAAAAAGTTCTTTCAATTTTTAAAAAGAATTTTATCCAGCTTTTCAATATTTCACAATAAATATGAGAAACAGTGTAATGTAAATATCTAAATAACACTGTATGTATGTAACTTTGATATAGAACAGGGGAGGACAATTCATTTTCCCAACCAGCCACATGAGAATTTATGACTGCTGTGATGGGCTGCGCACCAATGAACTGAACCCAAATGTAAAACTATTCAACATTACCAAAAGCAATTTGGAACAAAATGTGCATTTTTTAACAAGGTACTGTTGCTAATTTGTTTGTTGTTGTTTTTTGCAGTTATTTAGGTCTTTTTTCTTGTTTTATGAGACAAATTTAGTTTATTATTGGCTTTAACGGGTGCACTGGTGTCAGCTTTGAAATGAGATGGAAATGCAAAGGATAGCAGACAGATTATCCATGTCTAGTTTTGTTAAACTTTATCACAAATAATGTTTGTTCACATGCAAAAGAAAACCAGCATTATGTGAGAATATCTTTGTATGTGTGGAAAGTTCTCGTTTTTGTGAGCAGAATAAAAAAACAGCAGTGATACTGACTTAAAGTCCGTGATTCATTGCTTTTCACCCTGATGAAGTTAACTATTTTAGTTACATCAACAACATGGTTAATTTTTTAGCATTGGCTTGCACAACACCTCTTGGTGAATGATACAGTGCACAAATACCAGTTTCAGTTCTGGGTTCATGTCAGTCCGTTGTCAAAAGTCATTTCTTCCTGTCAGATTTGGACGGCCATCAGTTTTCAGCAGCAGCATTGCTGCCAGCTGCTCTGCAATCTGACACAGTTTTGTTATTCTGTGTATAAAGAAGAGGAACTTGGTTGTCTTGTGGACATCACAGTTGTTGGCCAGAGTCTTGTCCAATATCTGCTTTGTTTTTCAAATGAAGATCCTGATTTTGCTATAATGTGGTTAATCTATCTTTTGGGATTCACTTGGAGAGGGGCACATTCACAAATCCTTAATTTTTCTCAGGGCATATCAGCAAACACTATGATAAACTCCCCATCAGAGAATGATTTTATGTATTTTGCGATTTTGTGGAAGATGACAAACATGGCCTTGACTGCTCCATCCCTCTGAAACTTGTTGCTTTCACAGCACTGTCCATTCCTGTGTTGCATCAGTCAGGTTGTTGTATTCCTGAATTCAAATAAATACTTTCTGTACATGTTTTGTTAAAACGCTACATTGTATGTAGAGTGGATTTACAGCAAAGCTGTACCGATGCAGAGCAGGGATAGACACTGGAAACCTTTCTAGCAAAGCTGCAAAAGCAAAAACAATTTTTACCAAGCTGGATAGTGCAGTAGAGTCCAGCTTTGTGATTTCCCACAAAATTCACAAAAGCATGATGTATCCTTCTTTACGTTTGAATGCTAATTTTGTATTAGCCTCATGTGGGGAGGTCAGAGACAACCAATGGACTGAATAAGCAGCCCAAGAACCGTGCAAGAGCCAGCCAGGTCTGATATAAAAAGTTATTACCCTGTCAGTAAAGACATGTAATACAATATTTGCTAGCACTAGCAGCACTACAACGAATGCTGCTAGTGCTAACACTGCCAATGTTTTCTCACACTCACTATCTTGTTTTTCTGAATGTGATTATATTATGCATAGCTAAAAGTGACAAACATTGCAGAAGCATTTAAAAGGCGGTTTAATTATTTAAAATGGCTCTTAAATACATATTTTTTGTAGAGTATTATTTTGAATCGGAAGCCAGATTGAACCTCTTGTTGGTGTAGTGAGAAAACAAAAGGTCTCAGTGACATTTTTATTTGATTCTTGCGACTAAAAAAAATAAGGGGGACTAAAATGGTATAATGGCTACCTGCATCTTTTAAATATCTTACTATTAAATTATTTTATATAATCTGAAGCTTTTAATACGGTGGCCCTGAGAGGCCAAACGGACTGCAACTTCAGAAAACACTTGCAAAAAGAAAAATGCTGCAAAAAGGAAAATGCTGCAAAAAGAAAAACGCTGCAAAAGCACACACAACACAACGGAAATGTTTCTGGGGAGACAATAACCGGACGGACCAGTTGCACGAACCAAAACATGCTAACAAGTACACTGGGACTGGGAGACACTTGAAAGAAATGGAAGCGGAGCGGCCAAAGAGTAAACTTTCAAAAGTAAGTTCTGAATATTATGTCACTTATTTATGTGCAAATGTTTAATAACGAAGAACATTAAAACATTACTGTTGGCCACATGCCGGCAAAGTTATGTGACATTAGCGATGTTTGTACTTTCAGCGTTTACTTTGTTTTAAAGCTTTTACTTTATACGCCGTTCGATAGTTGACCTTAATCTTACAGAGAATCTAATGATTTTGTGGATAATTAAAGTCAGTCATATATCCACAAACACAACAAGCTGAAAGTCAGTGAATGCTGCTTGGTTTGCAGTCCTGAATATCACGGCACGGACTTTAATGTGTGTTTGAACGAGCTGACGGTTAAATCGTTACGCTGAAAGAAAGATGCTTTAATCACAGGAGTCACACATGTGTCCACTGTACCATCTGGGAACTCTTCTTGTTTAGCACTTGTAATAACACAAACACTAAATCCTCCTTCTCTTGTGCTTTTTTTGTAGCAGTGTATACACCTGAGACTGTCACCTGTCCGTCTGTCCTGCACTCTCTCTCTTTTTCTTTCTCTCTGATTGTGTAATAAAAGTATGAACATGTATTTATAAGTTACACTTGTGTTTGACTACTGCAGCTTATCACACATTTGATTTCCATGTGTGACAACTGCAAGTGTCCAGGGTGAGGACAGACTGAGGGACCCACTGCTGCACATCATCTGTGAGGCTTTGCACCCCTGATGATCCAACAGGACAAACTCAGCAGTGTGTGAGGAAGAGGAGGAGGAAGATCCAGCAGCAGCTGACAGATGGAGAAAATAGACACACTGTTCCCTGTTTGTGAAGGACTGCTAGGAAAGTTATAACTAATTGTCTGTCCTGAATCAGTCTTATTAGGTAATTTTCAAATAATTTTATCATTCCAGTGTTTTCAGTGTGGGAGAAAGTACTCAGGGCCTTCAGGTTACACACTATGAAAGGCAGCAACAAGTTTAATGTTCAGAAACCCAAAGTATGTGTCAGCAGCAGAATGGAGCTAAAAATAAATGTTTGTTTCAGTTCTATGAAGCTTTGAGTATTTTGGATCAGTAGTACTGCTGTGTTTGTTGCATCATATTGCTGTAATTGTTTATATGCTTTATATAGTCTAAGTTGATCTATAGTGTTACATCATATTCAGCCTGTTTAAGGCGCTGATATCTATTCTGTATGACTTAAAGCAGTTATGACATGGTCTGATTTTCTCACCCAATAAAGAAATATTTAATATATCAGCCTACCCTTCATTCTATCAGAAACAGTTATCACAGCTCGTACATTTGCTTTTTCCACACATATATAAGCATTGAGCCAAATTTAGTAATGCTAACATATTAAAAGAACAATATTTGTCTCTTATATATAATACATCTATAGATACACTGTCAAAGATACTTGTCTTTAAGTGAAGATTTAAGGTGATAGGAAATATAAATAAATGCAACTTGAATCTTTACTGAAGCTCAGTGTTTGGCACAGAGTTCATGTTCACTGCTGTAATAACTAATAACGATTAATATAATATTGGCCATATTATATTTACATTACCAAAGTGAGATGACTTTAGTCTCATGAACAACATTAGCTAATTGTTATTTACTAGCTAATCTTAAATGACTGTTCAGTACAGAAATGAAGCCCAAAAATCATGTTTTACAGTCCTGTGGTCTCAGCCTCAGATACTTATCAAATCACACAAAGCTCATGTAGAAACAAATGTACAAAATATGTTCTCCTTCATTTCTGTCAAACAAAGCTGTATGAAACATTTCCAGCTGTTAGTATCATGGTTGCTAGGCAACCTGGGCAGTGCGACGGAGGCTAGACTGTCCCATTTCACGAGCCTACAAGCCTCGCACTTCCGGCCTCAGCAGTCTTTGAGTACGCGGCCCTTGAGGACCGTTAAGGCTGCGTACCGGTTATTGTCTCCCCAGAAACATTTCCATTGTGTTGTGTGTGCTTTTGCAGCTTTTTTCTTTTTGCAGCATTTTTCTTTTTGCAAGTGTTTTCTGAAGTTGCAGTCCGTTTGGCCTCTCAGGGCCACCGTATTTTAACCATAACTTTAGAAAATTAAATAATAATGATCATAAAAACAGTGTGGAAGGTGGGTTAATATCATGTAACGAGTGCAGCTTTTCAAATTAGCCACAGCACTTTGTGAATCAGGTTGGACACTCTAATGATGCCATCAGCACACTGAACTCTGGGTTTTTCTGTTTCTGTCTGCAGAGAACAAAGCAGCACAACAACCAATTTCTCACTCCTAAATCATACTTCACTAAAGTGAGTCTGAAAATCAGCTTTCAGTGTGTTAGTATGAATATGTCATGAAGCTGCTATGGCACTCTTATTGGGTAGTTCAAAAATGCCATTGGATAAGCATATGCATTTTGATAAACAACAGTGCAGGTATTGTCTGTACACATTTGTACAATTTTTACACACACTACAATGAAAATATAAATTTGGATGCACTATGTGTAGGACTTTGCCTGAGAAATCATGGTGTATAATTTATTGTTCTGAACTGTTTATAATGAAGTATCAGTTATTCTGTTTTGCATACAACTGTAAAAATACAGTAAAATTCAACAATCACATTGCATTTTTCCCTTTTTATCATTTACCTAAAAAAGCTTAATGTTATTGTACAGATATTGAACAGGACATGACACGATAATAATAATAATAATAATCTGAATGTACACTTCAGAATTGGGCAATAAACAGTCAACTATCAACAGTTACATGTATTTTTTTTTCCATGTTCACATATAAAAAGGTTGGGGGAGACACGAACTCAGAAGTTCTACCATCATCAAATTAGTGCATTATTTAAAATCTTTGCTTCTGCAGGTTGATGCTTCTCACTCTTGACAAGCCAACAGAGAACAGACTCTGATGCAAAGCCAGAAAAAGGAAAGAAAAACAACAGAGAAAAAGAAAAAAAATAGGGTGGACCACTGGCAATCTTGGGTTTCCATTCTTCTTACAGGACTAAAAGTCTGTTCTTGGTTTTCAATTCTGAGAGAAGCTCCAAGGTGGTAGCATTTCACATTAGAACTTGAGAAGGTAGACTGAGGTTATAGTAAGCAGGAGGCATACAAAGCAATGTGATAGCGCAGCAGCCCCGTTCACGTCATGCATTGCACCAGGACCTGCAAGAGAATAATGCAAAATGTGATTCATCATAAGGGTTATTCAGATCAGTGCTCTAGTATTGACTATCATTAGTTAGAAGTTAAATGTTCATGCGGTTTGGTGCTGGAATTACCATGGAAACTGGCAATCGGTGGAAATAAAAGGTAATTCAATGAATAACATACAGTGGGTGACTTTCAGAATGGCTTTTTTATGTGTAGCTGCTAATATGGAAAAAGTGGTCGCTGACAAAAACAAAACTTTTTTCTTTTTTCTTTAATTCACTGAAGTGAACAACATAACAGAAACATATTTTTCTTACCATAGAGTATTATACTGGCATTAGTGATTCCCATGGTGTTCATAGCAACACAAGTGTAGTTCCCATAGTCTTCTTCTGAGACATTGAAAAAGATAAGCATAGACTGTTTCCCTTGATTCTCTATCTTTACCCCGTTTAGTCCATTGAGGAGCCTATAAGAAAGAGAAAAGCAGTTTTGAAATCTCTGAGAGAATGTGTTTATTTGTAACTTTTGCAAATGCACTCATAAAATATGCTTGATTAAAACTTAGGGAAATGTTTTTTAGATACAAAGCAAAACGCTCTGAATGTTCCTGTTCTCATGCTCTCCTGAATACCTGCAGCTACTGCAGTAACTGTGGATGTGCCACGGTCCGTGTTTTGAGTTTGTACTATTGTTTGATCTTTGATTTCATCATATTTTTACTGCTAGTCTCTTGATTTTGGTTTTCAGTATTTCTAGCACCCTAGTTCATTAGTATATCATGATTACTAGCCACATTAGGTTTTGTTTATGTGCCTCCCCTGTGTTCCGTGTTATGTCTAGGCTGTATCCCAATTCAGGGTCTGCAGCCTTAAAGGCCGCATTTTAAGGCCGATTACGTCACAGCGACGCGACGAAGGCTGTCTCAATTCGAAGGCTGCTCGAAATGCGGCCCTCAAATCAGTCCTTCATTTCCCTGAATTTTAAGGATGTGGCGGTGTAGACTTCGTGGCCCAACATATCCCAGAATGCATAGCGCGGCGGTGGGTGTGGATAATTTTGCCGAAAAAAAAAACGGCGGATGAGGGGCGACTGAAGAGTAAACTTTGAGTACTGAATATTATGTCACTTATTTATGTGCAAATGTTTAATAACGAAGAACATTAAAACATTACTGTTGGCCACATGTCGGCAAAGTTATGTGACATTAGTGACGTTTGTACTAACTTGGTTTTAAAGCCTTTACTTTAAAATATACGCCGTTCAATAGCTTACCTTAATCTTACAGAGAATGATCAAAGCTCATGTAGAAACACACAAACAAATGAACAAAAGATTTTCTCCTTCATTTCTGTCAAACAAAGCTGTATGAAACGTTTCCAGCTGTTAGTATCATGGTTGCTAGGCAACCTGGGCAGCGTGACGGAGGCTAGACCGTCTCATTTCACAAGCCTCGCACTTCCGGCCTTAGCAGTCTTTGAGTACGTGACCCTTGAGGACCGTTAAGGCTGCGTACTTTAAGGCTGCAGACCCTGAATTGGGATACAGCCTCTATTCTGTGCCTTTCTGTCCCACGTTTCAGGTCTGTTGTGTGTTTCCTGTTTTACTTTGAAAGTCCATGTCCTATGTCAGTGTATTCTGTTTTGCTTCCTCCCAGTCTCGTCTCATCTGATTAGTGTCAGATGTGTTCCCTGCCTGTCTGCCATTTCCTTGTTTACCTCTGTGCATATATAGGCTGTATCCCAATTCAGGGTCTGCAGCCTTAAAGGCTGCATTTTAAGGCCGATTACGTCACAGCGATGCGACGAAGGCTGTCCCAATTCGAAGGCTGCTCAAGATGTGACCGACAAATATGTCCTTTATTTCCCCGGATTTGAACGATGGATCAGTGTATCCTTTGTGGCCCAACATATCCCAGAATATATATATGTACATACATATATATACATATATACACATATATACACATATATATATATATATATATATACACATATATATATACACACATACATATATATATATATATATATACACACATACATATATATATATATATACACACATACATATATATATATACACACATATATATATATATATATACACACACATATATATATATATACACACACATATATATATATATACACACACATATATATATATACACACACATATATATATATATATATATATACATGTATATATGTACATATATATATATACATATATACATACACACACACACATATATATATACACACGCACATATAAAAGTGGGGGAAGGCGAGGAACCATCATGGAAGGACAGGCCCCTGCACGGTATGTACCACCGGCAGATAGAGGAGGTGGCTGATATCCAGAAATCCTACCAGTGGCTGGACAACGCTGGACTGAAAGACAGCACAGAGGCACTAATCATGGCAGCACAAGAACAAGCTCTGAGTACAAGATCCATAGAGGCTGGGGTCTATCACACCAGGCAAGACCTCAGGTGCAGGCTGTGTAAAGATGCCCCTGAAACAATCCAGCACATAACAGCAGGGTGCAAGATGCTAGCAGGCAAGGCATACATGGAACGCCATAACCAAGTGGCCGGCATAGTATACAGAAACATCTGTGCCGAGTATAACCTGGAAGTCCCGGGGTCAAAATGGGAGATGCCCCCAAGGGTGATGGAGAATGACCAAGCTAAGATCCTGTGGGACTTCCAGATACAGACGGACAAAATGGCGGTGGCTAACCATAGTGGTGGTAGACAAACATGAGAAGACGGCCGTAGTGATCGATGTAGCGGTTCCGAATGACAGCAACATCAGGAAGAAGGAACACGAGAAGCTCGAGAAATACCAAGGGCTCAGAGAAGAGCTCGAGAAGATGTGGAGGGTGAAGGTGACGGTGGTCCCAGTGGTAATCGGAGCACTAGGTGCGGTGACTCCCAAGCTAGGCAAGTGGCTCCAGCAGATCCCAGGAACAACAGCAAAGATCTCTGTCCAGAAGAGCGCAGTCCTAGGAACAGCTAAGATATTGCGCAGGAGCCCCAAGCTCCCAGGCCTCCGGTAGAGGACCCGAGCTTGAAGGATTGACCGCCCACAGGGGTAAGTGGGGAAATTTTTTTTAAAATATATATATAAGCATTCAGACAGATTTAGTAATACCAACATATTAAAAGAACAATATTTGTCTCTTATATATAATACATCTATATATACACTGTCAAAGACACTTTGATTTTTTAAGGTGATAGGAAATATAAATAACTGAAACTTGAATCTTGAATGAAGCTCAGTATTTGACACAGAGTTCAAGTTCACTGCTGTAATAACTAATAATGATTATTATAAAAATAACTTTAATATTGGCCATATTCAATGTTCCCTCTAAGCTGCGCGCGTGCACAATTGCGCACTGCTGGCACGGTCTCTGCGCACAGAAAATCTGTGTTGCGCAGAAAAAAATCTAACCTAAATTGAAATCAAAACTTTAACAATTCTGTTTTGCAGTGTTAGTAAGTGATTGGCTGCTCCCGAATGGGATTAGAACGATGCCACCTTATCCCACAGTCCAGCCAGTGATGCGATTCACATTCGTATATACGCAGCTAATCAACGTCGTTGACAGGCTATGACAGCGTCCTTATGTGCCGACACCGGTGTTTTAGCTAGCAAAGCGGCGTGGCTGATGTGGAGTGAAGCCACGTTAATGGCAACATGTACAACCATTGGAGATGTGAGCAGGACAGACGGAACAATTGATGGAAAAAGTGTGGACTTTATACCAGTTTTTAAATTGTGTTGATAGGCCACGTAAAATCTGAGTTATGATAAAAATATATGCAATGTTTGGTTTTCTTCCTGAATACTATCATTGTTTATATTTACTGCGGGAAGAAACGGTAAAAACTGCGTTTTATAAGGAAAATGCTCAAAAGCGCTCTCTGCCTGTCAGCAAAAACAAAACCAAAAACACTCCCACCTTTCCTATTGGTCGAAAAATGTACCATGTCGACCAATCACAAAATGATGGCATTTAGTTGTTAGCCCTTTAAAGCCGGTCAGAGTGGGCACTCTCTGTTTGCATAATTATTTTTAAATCCCTGTAGAACCGGAGCTGCGTAAGCTAGCGCAGTAATTTTTTCTTTACTTACATAAGATGTAAGTTGTACACTTAAACACAATTTGCCGATCCGATCAGTTATTTGTAACACTTCCCACATTGAAACAGAGGTCAGCGCTAACGATCACATGTCCGCCATTTCCTGTCCGAAACCGGAAGTGATGTCATTTTCGCAGAAAATGTAATTTTTTACTTGTAGGCCTTAAAAGCCTATACTGGTATTTTTATAAGTCATGTTTGACTTTATGCTTTTCTGAATAGTTTCTGGGAGGCTTACAACTCGAATTGCACTGCTGGAAATAGTTTATTTTGATGCACATGCTGTTTTCTTTGCAAATTTGCATCATATGATTGTTTTTCATTTTTCCTACAGTATATAAAAATTGCTGTATCTCAAAAATAAAACTATGAAGAAACTCAAAATAAATTTCCTGTTGTTGTAAACTTTTTTTTTTGCAACTTTTTTGTATTTAAAGTTTTGAGGGGTAAGCCTCTTAAATTTCTCCGAGTAGAAATATATGTAAAAAAAACAAAAACGATTTTCAATTTTTTTGTAGTTTATTGCACATTTTTGCAATTAATGTAGTTACTATGGACTTAATGCATACATATTATTAAAATATGGGCTATAACAGTTGTATTGATGTATAGCAACTTGAAATGCTCCCAAAAATGGCACTACAGCATGTAAAAATATAAAGTAAGCTCTGGTGGACTTGGTTCTACGGTAGGTCTTAAAGGGTTAAGAAACGGGGGGAAGTTTTAGGAGTGACAGCTGTGTTTTGAGATGTGAGAGATTTGAGACGTTTAGCGCAAATCTTTTGTAGTTAGTGTGTAGTGTAGTCAATAGTTTTGTTGTGTGTGTCAGAACAATGAGGCGATGGCTGAATGTTACAGGTGTTACAGGAGTGATACATTTCCTGCTGTCAGGCCTGCAGGTATTAGGCTGGTGTTCTCCTTTATCTCATAGTGGACAGAAATTATTTTTTGAAGTGGCACAAATAATTTGTGTGGCATCAGATTTGATGCAGAACAGCTGATTGTTCTGTAAATAGTTTGAAATGTTTATTTTAAAAAACGCCTTGGCTGCATTTTTAGTTAAACGGCTCCAAAAAATGTTGTTGTTTGCATAATTCAGTTAATTATATAGTTAGTTCTTCAAAAAAGTAACCATATAATTAATTGCTCAACATAGGTCATTATATACTGTATTTTGCAGACAGAGAGTTACAGGACTCTCTCCCAGACCACAGACTGGGAGAGAGTGACCGAGCCCCAGGCCGAGAGGCCGAGGGCACCCCACCCCCGAAGTGGCCCGAGCGAGCCCCAGGCTCCAGGCCCCGACAAGCAGCCACCAGGAGTGAGCCGGTGTGTACCTGGATGCCCATCCCCGGACACAAAGAGCCACCAATGAACTGATGTATGAGGGCGTCTGCCACCGGCAGGGGGAGTGGTAGGGGGAGATAGGCCTCCATACCTTGGAGGGCCTGAGATGTCCCTAGAGAGGTGGCATCTGATACCCGACCCGACATATAGACACAGACAAACAGGCACACACAGATACAAACATCCATTCCCACCCTCATGCTCTCATATGCAATTACTCAACACTCAACCAACGTGGAGACAGACATAAAGAGACACTGTACACGCAATCACACTCCCCAAGCGTACTCTAAGCCCCAGGTCTAGGTACCCTTGCCCCTGGAGGGGGAAACTGCACCCAGACCCAGGTAGTGTTACCCTTTTCCCTGGGGTGGAGAGAAGCTGACTGCCCTAAACAACTAAATGCCATGTTGCCATATCATTCTTTGATTGGTCGACATGGTACATTTTTCGACCAATAGGAAAGGGTGGGGTTTTTTTTGGTGTTGTTTTTGCTCACAGGCGGAGAGTGCTTTTGAGCATTTTCCTGATAAAACACAGTTTTTACCGTTTCTTCCCGCAGTAAATATAAACAACGATAGTATTCAGGAAGAAAATTGCATTGCATATATTTTTATCATAACTCAGATTTTACGTGGCCTATCAACACAATTTAAAAACTGGTATAAAGTCCACACTTTTTCTGTCAATTGTTCCGTCTGTCCTGCTCACATCTCCAATAATTGTACATGTTGTCATTAACGTGGCTTCACTCCACATCAGCCACGCCGCTTTGCTAGCTAAAACACCGGTGTCGCCACATACGGACGCTGTCATAGCCTGTCATTGACATTGATTAGCTGCGTATATACGAATGTGAATCGCATTATTGACTGGACTATGGCATAAGGTGGCATCGTTCTAATCCCATACGGGAGCAGCCAGTCACTTACTGACTAACACTGCAAAACAGAATTGTTAAAGTTTTCATTTTAAATTCAATTCAGGTTTGATGGTTTTTTATGTGCGCAACACAGATTTTCTGTGCGCAGAGACCGTGCCAGCAGTGCGCAATTGCGCACGCGCGCAGCTTAGAGGGAACATTGCTGGTCAGTACCGAAAAGAAGCACAACATTCATATTGTTACAGTTCCGTGGTCTCAGCCTCAAATATTCAAATCAAACAAACGTCATGTAAAAACAAACAAACAAATGAACTCTCTATTTCTTTTCTTCATTTCTGTGAAACAATGCTGTATGAAATGTTTGCAGCGGGTATCATGACAGAGGATAGACCTTTCGATTTCACAAGCCTCATATTTCCGGCCTTCTCGGCCTTCAAGGACGCAGCCCAAGTAGACAGTGAAGGCTGCGTCCTCCAGGGCTGCAGACCCTGAATTGGGATATAGCCATAGTGTGTGCTCACCTTTGCTCGTTCTCGTCCGTCTGCATATCATTCTGTGTGTCATCCCACATGTTCTAACAACGTTTCATGGTTTCAGGTTTATTTAGTTAGTTTTCCTGGTTTAGGTCTTTCTTATTTTCTTTCTTTGCCATGTCTGCTTCTGTTTGTATTATCACCGTTTGAAAATAAAGCTCACTCACAGTAATGCCAGTGCCTGCACATGGGTCCATCTCTTATAACTTCACACATCTGCCGCTGCAGCCGTGACAGGATGTATTTGTTTAAAAGCCCGCCTTCCATTTCCCACATTTCATTTCCTGTTTCTTTTCTACAGTTTCGCTGTTTTTTTACATTTATTTTATCACTCCTCTCTATCACTACAGGGAGTGCAGAATTATTAGGCAAATGAGTATTTTGTCCACATCACCCTCTTCATGCATGTTGTCTTACTCCAAGCTGTATAGGCTCGAAAGCCTACTACCAATTAAGCATATTAGGTGATGTGCATCTCTGTAATGAGAAGGGGTGTGGTCTAATGACATCAACACCCTATATCAGGTGTGCATAATTATTAGGCAACTTCCTTTCCTTTGGCAAAATGGGTCAAAAGAAGGACTTGACAGGCTCAGAAAAGTCAAAAATAGTGAGATATCTTGCAGAGGGATGCAGCAGTCTCAAAATTGCAAAGCTTCTGAAGCGTGATCATCGAACAATCAAGCGTTTCATTCAAAATAGTCAACAGGGTCGCAAGAAGCGTGTGGAAAAACCAAGGCGCAAAATAATTGCCCATGAACTGAGAAAAGTCAAGCGTGCACCTGCCAAGATGCCACTTGCCACCAGTTTGGCCATATTTCAGAGCTGCAACATCACTGGAGTGCCCAAAAGCACAAGGTGTGCAATACTCAGAGACATGGCCAAGGTAAGAAAGGCTGAAAGACGACCACCACTGAACAAGACACACAAGCTGAAACGTCAAGACTGGGCCAAGAAATATCTCAAGACTGATTTTTCTAAGGTTTTATGGACTGATGAAATGAGAGTGAGTCTTGATGGGCCAGATGGATGGGCCCGTGGCTGGATTGGTAAAGGGCAGAGAGCTCCAGTCCGACTCAGACGCCAGCAAGGTGGAGGTGGAGTACTGGTTTGGGCTGGTATCATCAAAGATGAGCTTGTGGGGCCTTTTCGGGTTGAGGATGGAGTCAAGCTCAACTCCCAGTCCTACTGCCAGTTTCTGGAAGACACCTTCTTCAAGCAGTGGTACAGGAAGAAGTCTGCATCCTTCAAGAAAAACATGATTTTCATGCAGGACAATGCTCCATCACACGCATCCAAGTACTCCACAGCGTGGCTGGCAAGAAAGGGTATAAAAGAAGAAAAACTAATGACATGGCCTCCTTGTTCACCTGATCTGAACCCCATTGAGAACCTGTGGTCCATCATCAAATGTGAGATTTACAAGGAGGGAAAACAGTACACCTCTCTGAACAGTGTCTGGGAGGCTGTGGTTGCTGCTGCACACAATGTTGATGGTGAACAGATCAAAACACTGACAGAATCCATGGATGGCAGGCTTTTGAGTGTCCTTGCAAAGAAAGGTGGCTATATTGGTCGCTGATTTGTTTTTGTTTTGTTTTTGAATGTCAGAAATGTATATTTGTGAATGTGGAGATGTTATATTGGTTTCACTGGTAAAAATAAATAATTGAACTGGGTATATATTTGTTTTTTGTTAAGTTGCCTAATAATTATGCACAGTAATAGTCACCTGCACACACAGATATCCCCCTAAAATAGCTAAAACTAAACACAAACTAAAAATTACTTCCAAAAACATTCAGCTTTGATATTAATGATTTTTCTGGGTTCATTGAGAACATGGTTGTGTTTCAATAATACAATTATTCCTCAAAAATACAACTTGCCTAATAATTCTGCACTCCCTGTACTTATTTCATCTTATAGGGACAGGAAATGCTGCTGTCACTTTCAGGGACCATTTAACAGTCACCATAGCCATTGTTTGTATTTACTCTTCTCATAAATGTATTTCCAGTTTCAAGTCATCAGTTGGAAAAAGCTACTTTATATTAGATTATTATCTAAACATTTGAGCCCAGCACCCTACTGACATAAACTAATTATAGAGAAACAAATAAATGGTAAATGGCTTGCATTTGTATAGCGTTTTACTTAGTCCCTAAGGACCCCAAAGTGCTTTACACTACATTCAGTCATCCACCCATTCACACACTGGTGATGACAAGCTACATTGTAGCCACAACTGCCCTGGGGCGCACTGACAGAGGCGAGGCTGCCGGACACTGGCGCCACCAGGGCCTCTGACCACTAGTATTTAGTATCTTGCCCAAGGATATTTGGCATGCAGCTAGGAGGCAGCCTGGGATTGAACCACTGACCTTCTGATTAGTGCCTGACTTGCTCTGCCACCTGAGCTACAGCCACCCCAAATAATTTTCCTTTGGTATCCATGACTTTTTGCAAATTATCTAACTAACTGTTTTCTCTAATAGTGTGATTAAATTTTGATGTAGTCCACTGATAGAAGAATGCAGGGCACAAGTTATCTTATCTCAAAAACATGATTTTAAACAGTGATATGAGTGAACATCATTACTTTCAGCAAAGATCATGTCGCATGAATTAAGACCACAGCGTACAGCAGAACACGTGTGTTTGTAAGCCTGTAATACTGAGGTCAAACAATTCAGAGCATGTCGAAATCATAGAGCTCAGGGAAGAAACATGCCTGCGGTCTTCTTTGTACCACTCAAAATCTGCCCTTGGGACAGCAGAGGCTTCACATTGCAGAATTCCTTTTTGTCCAACTGAAGTGCCTGTACTCCTCGCTTTAGAAATGAAGGGAGGATCTGGAAAACAAAAAAATACCAGTCATATGTTTTCATATGACTGTTTCTTCAAATTGAAATTGTGCCCTCAACTGTCCTCACTCAGTGTTAGTTTAACTCTGCACCCTCCCACCCTTTGATGTCCTATATAGCCTGAGTGTGATAGCCTGGCCCTTACAGTTGACGGTGACTTGCACTGTCCTGACATCCGGGCTTGAGATGTCATTAGATGCAATGCATTCATAAGATCCCGACTGTTCTTTGGTGATGGCTGTGAGCATCAGGTGCTCCCCCTCTGTCACAAATTTATGGGTGCCTGTAGAGAAAGAAACAAAGCAAAAGAAAAAAAACAGTGCATGAGTTAATGTTTCAATTCAATTCGATTAGCTCTATGACATATGATCCTGTACTCATTTCAGAAGAAAAAAACCAGTCTGCCGCTGTGGACCTGACCAAAAAAGTTAAACAGCTTTGGTAGGCAGCAGCCGAGGGCAAGTCGACCCTCTGACCACCACCAGTAGGCAACGGGTGAAGTATCTTGCCCAAGGACACAACGACCAAGACTGTCCAAGCCGGGGCTTGAACCGGCAACCTTCCGATTACAAGGCGAACTCCCAACTCTTGAGCCACGCTCGAGGTTATAGGTATGTATATGTTTTTGTATATGTATATGTTTTTCTCTAAATATGTAAACAAGATGACTGACCCAATGCAACACAGCCAAGATTACCAGCTCAGATAATCAGTTAATAATGCAAATATGACATAGTAATATGGTAATCCAGTTGCAGAAACTAATGTTTGCATCATGTTTTGAAAAGATATTATAGGATAATGGTAAATTTTCAAATGGTCTGTTGCAACTTAACAGATTGAACAAACTTGTGATTATCCTTGTTAAAAAACTTAATTAAAGAAAAAAGAACCCAGAAACAGGAAAGCCCTCTTTTTCTCTCAAACATCTCCAGATGGCAGACAGCTCAGGGCATGCACTCAATACACAAAGAAAATACACTAATTGCACTGAAACAAGCCCACTTGAGGAACACCATAAATTACCCCTGACACCAACAATGTTAAAAGCATGTTTTCATGGCAGAGAGAGAGACTTTAAGCCACTGCTGTGTGGGTGGGAAAATGGATAGGAGCACTAATCCCAATCAGTAGAAATGTCAATCTAGCAATATCACAACATTAGCATAATGCCATTATGTTTTTTTAATCCTCAGCTGCAGACACTGCTGCAGCTGGCAGGGGATTCAGTAAAAAGGTTGAGGGCTAGGGATAATCAGCTTCTTGCATGAAACCAGGGAACTGCGAACTCAGGTAATTAACATTTTCATCAACTGTAACTATGTAGATTAGTGACAAAATGCTGTTGAGTTACTAGTTAGAACTATCTGAGATCTCAATGATGGAAAGATGGAAAACAAGTGCCACCCATTGGAGGGTAACTACAAATGTGAACTCAGTTCTTGATTTGTGTAATTAATTATGTAATCTATGTTTTCCATTTTCATGCAAACTATAAATTCAAGGAAATATGACTCTAATTAACATAAATGGTTAAAATTGCTGAAATGCTGATGATTTTCCTGTGATTCTTGCTAAGGAAATTCCAGCACTGTTTGCATAGAATAAAATGTTTGTGCGCTGTAGAGTTCTTTGGGAATTCAAGGAGAATAAAAAAAAGCTCTGCATAAATACCAGTCCTTATCCCCTTTTGCATCACATATTTCTCTATGCGGGAAAAAGCTTAGGTATTCTATGTGATCACTAAATCTAAGTTAATAATAAGGTGGACAATATATATATTTTTTAAAAATGTTACTAAACTACTTTGGGGATTCAACATTTTTGTTTATACTAAAGTGGTTAAATTTAAATCAGTCTGGCAAGTTGTATCCAAATTTCTAAATGTAAATAATATTTGTGGCCAAATCAGCAAAATAGTATCACCACACTGTGCTTTATTATTGTTAAAAGCCTAAATTTTGCTTAAAGCATCTAATAAAAAAAACATAGATGCATGTTACTTCTTTTTTGTTGTGTTTTTGTTTTTTTGTGTTAGGTTTTATAGAACGATTCTTATTTCGTGTTTAAGACTTTTCAGAACTGTGTTTGAATGAGTGTCTCTGTGTGTATGTGCATGTTTATTCTTACAGCACTGTAAGCAGCCACATGTCTCCACAGCACATAATTCATACACATTTGAGAAACAATTTAGCCTCTGACACCATCACAATACACTGAGATTAAAAGTAAGTTATTTTTTCATTATTACAGAGCCAAAAAACAATACTATACTGAAAGTGCAAGATAATGACAAGACACAGCTCCAGTTCAAGTGTTAGAATTTGAATGTCAGTTTAAATCACACAGCTGAATGAAAATAAAAGAGTCATAATCATTATGTATTAATCAGATTATATAAATATAAAAACAATCACCATTAACACCAACTCCCACATCACTGGTCACATTTCCAGCACAGCATCAGTGTCAGTGTACCATGACTGGATCACTAATAAGAGTCATTAAAGTACGAGACGGAAGCTGAGTATCTGAAAGCACTCAGTGGAGCACTGTTGTAATATTAGCTATTAGCTTAAGGAGCTCTGCTGTCTAGACACCACTCTGTGCAGTTTTAGTAAAAAGATTACAGTAGACCAGTTAGTTAAGATGGTATGGTACCCAGTGTTGGGGAGTAAAGGAATACATGTACCGCTGTTACGTATTTAAAATAAAATACCCATAACACCCCTAGTTGCATAATGATATGAAGAAATATTTTTAAAAATTATTCAAACAATTATTTAATATGAAGGCAGTAGACAGAGTGTTACAGGCATAGCCCTAAAGAATGTAGCCTCATGGGCAGTGTAGTCCGTGCTTCAGGGAGAATGGACTGCCATATCCTTTTTGGCTGTGGTTAAGGAGCTATTGATTGGAGATTGGTGGTTCGATCTTTGGCTTCCACAGTCTGCATGCCAAATATCCTTGGGCAAGATACTAACCCCAAGTTGCCCTCCGATGTGTGAATGTTGGTTAGTTTGAAACAGTTTGAAACTGTGGCGGGCAGAGCGGCCCAAGCGTTTAAAAGTAGCAGACACACGGAAAGAAGAAACCCATGAAAACATGGCAGAGCCAGGATGAACACCCTTGGCCTCATATACAAAGAATGTTTCGCATAAAAGCAGTACAAAAGAACAGCTATGTCTTCAGTGTCGGTGTCTTCAGTGAGAGCCAAAACAAAGGAACTTTTCAGAGTGAAACAACTCGGCTCGTGTAACCTGAGGAAACGGCAAGTTTTCTCTAAATATCTTTTTAGCTGTGGTTAGCTGGATGTCAGTCTTATGTTACAGCAGCTGTGTCGAGCTCGAGCTGCGAGTCATATTTTCGGCGCTACATTGTAGTGAGATAAGTTTGTGGGTGTTTTGTGCAGCTTCAGCTGTCCTTTTAACTGTTCGCTAGTTAGCTAGCGTGAGCTATAAGCTAACAGCTAGCCTGGTTAATGATGCTAGAGTTCAACGCGCATGCAAACAGGTCGTCTCTACTGCTTTAACTGTTAAAAAAGAAGGCAATGCTGCGGCTGACAGGATTTATTGTGTGAAAAAGCAGCTTGTTTAGTTTAAACAGTCTGCATTAAGCTGGGCAAACACTACGATTTTTTTCAGCTGCGTTTTCAGCTCCTGCTCAAACTGTACAATTGAATCGCAGGGGTTAGAAGTTCATAGGTCACGATGCAGGGTCTCGGCCTGATGCTCTGATGCGACCTGAGTGCTCAAACTGTGCGTCCATAACATGAAGCTTATCATACAAAATCTGTCTCTCGCTCTCCCTCTCTCTGTCTTACAGACACACACACACCACCACCATCAACTTTGCTAAATTACTAATGGAAAACATTGACCAGGCAGCTGCAATTGAGCAGCAGTGTTCATCCAACTCTTTTTATGGTTGTTGTAGTCGTCACAATTTTGTGAGACCACATTGAAAAGCCTCTTATATGGAAGCGTAGTACGGAAGCGTAGAGCTGCCACCCAGGCAAAAGAAAAATAGAAAAGTATATTGTTAGAACAATATACTTTTCATGTTAGTACAATATACCTTTCACGTTTGAACAATATAATATCACGTTATTACAATATACATAATTATCACGTTCGTACAATATAACTCTTATATAGGCTACATCACAGCTCCAGTCACGGCTTCCATCACTGTCTTTCTCGTCTTTTCCCAGAATAACAGCCAAACAGGAGGATCCATTGTCTAGCACTGCTTAGCCTTCACGCATTCTTATTTTAATCTTAATCTGGAATTCATTGCAAACTGTTTGTGCGGGATATGAATGACATGATTTAGTTTTTCTACAAGAGTTAGTAAAAAACATCACCAGTGTGATCAAATCTTCTTGCCAAACATCTGCAGCTTGGCAGTGTATACATGGTAAATGGACTGATTCTTATATAGCGCTTCTCTACTCTCTCGGAGTACTCAAAGCGCTGTATACAACATGCCACATTCACCCAATCACACCCATTCTTACAAGCACTTTATCTATACTTAGTGCTATCTAACTACATTCACACACATTCATACTCCGATGGATGCATCGGAGAGCAACTTGGGGTTAGTATCTTGCCCAAGGATACCTGACATGCAGACTGGAGGAGCCAAGGATCAAACCACTAACCTTCCGATCAGTAGGTGACCTGCTTTACCTCCTGAGCTACAGCCACCCTGAAACATATATATATGTGCTGTATATATATATATCTATATATATACAGCACATGAAAGGTACCTCTCCAGTTCCCCTGCTTCTGGCTTTCCTGACCCCATGGATCCATCATTTTAGTCGGTTAGGCTGCTGTTTGTGCTGGTCTCATTCAGCTCGGAGTCTAGGTGATGTCTGATGAAGTTGAGACCTGTGGAAAGATGTATGGTTTTCAAAAGAATTAGGTCTGGTCATTATAGTGCTGTGTGTGTATATATATATATATATACACAGCACTATAATGACCAGACCTAATTCTTTTGAAAACCATACATCTTTCCACAGACATTTCAAACAGTTACTCGCTACTTGAGTAGTCTTTTCACCAAGTACTTCTTTACTCTTACTTGAGTAACATTTTTTGAAGACTACTTTTCACTTTTACTTGAGTAATAATATTTTAAAGTAATGCTACTCTTACTTGAGTACAATTTTTGGATACTCGACCCACCTCTGCTCGCTAACAAAGTTGACCCAGACAACAAAGTAAAGCTAGTTTTCGGCTACGAGCCCAACACGGAACCCGACGTATTAGCCAGAGGTCCCTTTACGGTTTTTCCGCCTTTGCAGTTCGGAGCCACGACCTGTTTCATATATGCGTGGAATAGTTTTCTATACAAGATCGCTGCAAAAAGTGCCTTACCTAATTTCCACCCTACTGTTACTCTTTTTATATTAAGATTTAAAAATCTAGTTCGTACTGGTATGGCAAGTATCGGGGTGATCGTGGCTCAAGAGTTGGGAGTTTGCCTTGTAATCGGAAGGTTGCCGGTTCGAGCCCCGGCTTGGACAGTCTTGGTCGTTGTGTCCTTGGGCAAGACACTTCACCCATCTTTATAGATGACACAATTTTGTACGGCCAAAACACATTTTGTCAGTGTTTTAGTTGGGGTACAACAGCACACATCTTGAAAGAGAAGGAAGAAGAAAAAACGCGTCTCCCAATAGGACGCAAACATTTCATTCTTTTTCACAACACACAGCGAACGGCTTTATCTTATGTTTGATAAAGTAGCCTCATAAAATGGGAACTGACCTAAAAAATTCTGAAAGAAATCAATAACTGAATTCCTGGTAAAGTAACTGACTTTCTTCTTAAACGAATACTGCACAGTTTGAAATATTATGTGTTATAGTACAGAGTACAGAGTATTCAGTAAGAAGCGTAACCTGCCACAGCTTTTAATACACTGTTCATAAAAACTTAAGGAACACTTTTAAAAGAGAGGGTTTTTTTTATTGTTTTTTATTGTTTTGTTTTTTTACAAATTCTGGATTTGGCTAGGGTCAGTCTCACTTGCTGGTAGCATGAGGTAATGTCTACAGAAGTTGCACACATAGTCCGAGTTCCCCAGAATGGCACATCAATGTGTACCATTGCCAGAACGTTTGCTATGCCTTCCAGAACACTCTCAAGAACATGGAGAAGATTGCAGGAGACAGGCAATAAACTATGAGAGCTGGTCTCGGATCTTTTGTGCAAGGAGGAACAGGATGTGGTACTGTTCTTTCAAACAAGCCATCTGCTGACTTGAGATGAAATGCATCTGTGGATAGATTCAAAAACAGACTCAAAACCTTTCTTTTCACAAAGGCCTACATGTTTTGTTTTGCTTTATGTCTTCATTTTCTGTGTTAAGCACACTGATTTTCATGTATTGAAAGATGCTATATAAATAAAATTGTCATTCTCTTTGGCCTTCTCAAAATGACCTCCAGCAGGCCACTGGTATGTGTGTCTTTGACCAAACACACAGAAAAAGAGTTCATGAGGGTGGCCTGAGGGCCCAGCATCCTCTAGTGAGCTCTGTGCTCACTGTTTGACATTGTGAAGCCACATTTTACCTGAATGGTGCACAGTGCTTTTCAAAGATGACAGCAGATTTTGATGTGATAGACGTAAAAGGGTCTGGAGAAGCCATGGAGAATTTTATAAATGATGTGACATCATTCAGCGTGACTGGTTTGGTGGTGGGTCAGTGTTTGTCTAAGTAAGTGATGGTCTAAGTAAGAATATCCATGGAGGGATGCAGAGACCTCTATAGGCTACACAATCACTCCCTGACTGCTGTTAGGGTTCCAGATGAATTCCTTGGACCCATTGCATTAATTCGTTTTTAATTTTTTAATTTTTATTAATCATAATTCACTCACACACAGAGGATCACATCGGGACGGAAGTGAGGTAGGGACGGAAGTGAGGTAAGTGACGGAAGTGATGTTGTAGGTGACGTCAGACGCCGGAGATTTTGGCGGAGAAAAAGCAAATGGTAGCATAGAGTTTAACAAAGGTTTTCCAAGCTTCAGTATTACCAAATATACTAATCAATTGTCATATAACTAACAACATCTGTTTTATCATCTCTAACACCCTGGAGGACAACGGGGAGAGTTTAGACGCTCTCCAAGATTACATCGACCGCTGTTTTCAAGATTTAGTAATGCATAAGGCCCAGAGTGCATCTTCCCCGGCCAAAATCGAGACGCCGTCATCGAAGAGAAGTCGCCAGGCAGACTCCCCCGGTACAACATCGCCTGCCGGCAAAGACATCGCAGAAATCCTGGAGTCAATCGACAAGCGATTGTCCAGTTTCGATGCGAGGCTGTCCCTGGTGGAGATTTTACACCGGGAATTTAAATCTCTGAGAGAATCCCTGGAATTCAGCCAGCGGCAGGTGGAAACGCTTGCCGCTGAAAATGCCACGCTACGGGAGTCGGTTAAATCTCTCACCGATAACGTGACCCAGCTAAACATTGAAAATAAAAAAATAAAAGAGTCCGTTATCGATCTACAAGCCCGTAGCATGAGAGATAATCTTGTGTTTTCTGGTATTCCAGAAACTGCCAGAGAGGACGCAGAGGCAACGGTGAAAAGCTTCATTAAAATCCACCTGAAGCTGCCGGAGGACACCGTAATGAACATTGACTTCGATAGAGTACATCGCTTGGGGGGCGCGCGGTCGCGGACCGGGAGACCACGGCCTATTGTGGCCAAATTCAGTCAATTCAAACAGAAGGAACAGGTGAAGAGTCGCGGCAGAGAGCTGAAAGGAACGGACTTCAGCGTGAACGACCAGTTCCCCAAAGAGATCCTGGAACGACGCAAGGTCCTGTTCCCAGTTCGACGTAGCTTTATCCAGAAAGGCTCCCGTGCTGTCATCGCTGTGGACCGGCTCTACGTGGACGGACAGCTGTACCGCGACCCTGGCACCACACCGTGGTTATACTGACTGCACTCCAGATAAGAACCCGCTACACTCTTTTCTTATTCATTCACACTTTCTCCTTTAAAATGTGTTTAACCTAGTAATATCAGTAGGATGTCATAGCAGATATAACACCGTCACCCTCCGTCATTGCTTTAATTGGAATGTTTCCGTTTCGTTTCTTTTTTTTTGTTGTTGCTCACAGTTCATGTGGTTTCTTTCTTTCTCTTGTCTTTCACTGTTGTGGTCACCTACTTCCCCACTCACCTACAAACAACACCCTCTATTTCTCCATATTTTCACAACACGATCACGCAAACACATCAGCTCAACGGCAGCACATTCACAACAGCCTAACAGCACGCACAGACTTGCAGGACACATAAGCAAGCCACGCTTGTTCATATTAGTGAATATTCACACACATAGTCAGACTTATGGAGTCTCTCACCACACTTCTTTTTCTCTTTCTATTTACAAACAAGGGATGTTTCCATATTCTCTCCACCTGTCTAAACGAAACACCCAGCATACATCATTAAACATACACGCACAATTAAGGGCATGCTGAGGTTTGTCACATGGAATGTAAATGGAGCTGGCACCAGAGGAAAGAGGTTAAAAATATTTAACCAGCTTAAAAAACTACAGGCAGATGTTGTTTTATTACAAGAAACTCACAAACCTGTCACAGGTTTAAATGAACTTAAAACACCTGAGTTTCCTAACGTGTTTGCAGCCGGTTATAATTCTAGACAACGGGGAGTAGCAATTTTAATACATAAAAATGTTAATTTTACAGTACTCGATACAGTTATAGATCCAGAGGGTAGATTTCTAATTATTAAACTATCAATATTGAACAAAAAACTATGTATTGTTAGTATATATGGTCCAAATGTTGATGAACCCTCATTCTTCCACGGTTTTTTTAGTGCACTCTCTGAACACCTTGATTGCACACTCATTCTTGGCGGTGACCTCAACCTTGGACTAAATGAAGAAATGGATAGGCTCAACACAACAGGAACTCAGCGTAATTGGCAGTCCACAAATATAATCAAACAGTATATGAACGACTTTGGTCTTTGCGATTCATGGCGCTCTCTTCACCCCACCAGTAAGGAATATACTTTTTTCTCGCATGTTCATCACTCTTACTCTCGTCTGGATTATTTTTTGGTCAGCAGCTCACTGCTGTGTGACATTTCAGACACTGAGATTCATCCTATAGCTGTCAGCGATCATGCTCCTGTATCTTTAACACTAATGCACAAGAATAATACTACGCCAAGTAAAAACTGGAGATTTAATATATCACTACTTAAAGATGAAGACTTTATTAAATACTTTAAAAAGGAATGGACTTCATATTTAGACTTTAATGACACTCCCGGAATATCTGCTTCTGTTCTATGGGAAGCAGGGAAAGCTGTGATGAGAGGTAAAATAATTTCTTTCTCATCACACAAAAGAAAGAAGAAAACAAAAATATTCAGGAATTAGAAAAAAACATCAAATCACTAGAAGAAGCCTACACGTCCCACCAAGATCAGGAAACATTGAACAAAATATGCAAAACAAAACTAGAATTAAATGAAACTATTAATAAAAAACACAATTCCTTATACAAAGACTTCGCTTGCAGAATTTTGAACACAGTAACAAATCAGGTCGATTTCTAGCTAACCAGCTAAAAATAAATAAAGAAAAAACAACTATATGTGCTGCTAAAGATTTATCGGGGAACACAATATATGATCCTGGAAGAATAAACAACATTTTTAGGGATTTCTATGAAACTTTATACTCACCACAAATAAACCCATCTAAAAATGAAATTGATCTGTTTCTTGACAACGTAACT